TTTTTTCGCGGGGAAATGTGACACTATCGTGAGAGATCTTAGCAACCGTCAACAACAATAACACAACAAAATGTAGTTCCATATTCAATGTTTATTTGTAGCACAGGACACGTGAATACGTGGATATTTCACAAAGCACAGTTCAATAATATTTTAAGATGTAAGAATTAAGCATCTAGGTCGGTCGTTCCGAGTGAGTAGTTTTTGTAGTGTATTACTACGCAGTGTGAAAAGGTTACTATCAGTTCCCACATGCTGAGATTCTATGAACACCTGTGTTATGCATTTATGAATGTAATTTTTGTCAATGGGTCTAAGCATACAGAATGTAAATATACTGTAATAACAGCATAAAAATCTACTGTTATAATAACAGATAAATATCTATACTGTTATGATAACAGATAAATATCTATACTGTTATAATAACAGATAAACATCTATACTGTTATAATAACAGATAAATATCTGTACTGTTATAATAACAGATAACATCTATACTGTTATAATAACAGATAAACATCTATACTGTTATAATAACAGATAAACATATATACTGTTATAATAACAGATAAATATCTATACTGTTATAATAACAGATAAACATATATACTGTTATAATAACAGATAAACATCTATACTGTTATAATAACAGATAACATCTATACTGTTATAATAACAGATAAATATCTATACTGTTATAATAACAGATAAACATATATACTGTTATAATAACAGATAAACATCTATACTGTTATAATAACAGATAACATCTATACTGTTATAATAACAGATAAATATCTATACTGTTATAATAACAGATAAACATATATACTGTTATAATAACAGATAAACATCTATACTGTTATAATAACAGATAACATCTATACTGTTATAATAACAGATAAATATCTATACTGTTATAATAACAGATACACATCTATACTGTTATAATAACAGATAAATATCTATACTGTTATAATAACAGATAAACATCTATACTGTTATAATAACAGATAAACATATATACTGTTATAATAACAGATAAATATCTATACTATAAAATAAAATCTTAAAGTCGCAACTTTTGAAATATGTTTTTATTTAGCTGTCAAAGGATTGTAAAAATCCTAATTTTTGTCAAAATAAATCTATGTATCTATGTATGTATCTATATACAATATGACAAACCTTTTTTCTGTAAGGACAAAAACTTCCCGGAAGTCTGTTCAAAAAGGGGAAAATTAATGATACCACAGGGGACGTAAGTAATACAACAGGGGTGTAAGTGATAACACAGGGGGGCAGTGTTACAACAGGGCGGTAAGTGATACCAGAGGGGAGGGGTGTGTGTGTGTTACTACAGGGGAGGTTAGTGTTACTACAGGGGAGGTAAGATACCAGAGGGGAGGGGTGTGTGTGTGTTACTACAGGGGAGGTTAGTGTTACTACAGGGGAGGTAAGTGTTACTACAGGGGAGGTTAGTGTCACTTGAGGGGAGGTAAGTGATACTACAGGGGAGGTAAGTGATACTACAGGGGAGGTTAGTGATACAACGGAGGGGGGGGGAGAGTGTTACTACAGGGGAGGTCAGTGTTACTACAGGGGAGGTAAGTGATACTACAGGGGAGGTTAGTGATACAACAGAGGGGGGGAGAGTGTTACTACAGGGGAGGTAAGTGATACTACAGGGTAGGTTAGTGATACTACAGGGGAGGTAAGTGTTACTACAGGGGAGGTAAGTGATACTACAGGGGAGGTTAGTGATACAATGGAGGGGGAGGGGAAGGTTACTACAGGGGAGGTTAGTGTTATTACAGGGGAGGTAAGTGTTACTACAGGGGAGGTAAGTGATACTACAGGGGAGGTAAGTGATAC